TTCTACACACATTAAAATGCTAACAGCAGAAGAGGGAATGCATCTTGATAATGATGGGAATAAACAGAACAACAGTTAACACTCACAGAGTCCTTGGTGGGTGCCAAGAACTGCCATATCTTACTTAGTTTTCTACAGCCAATCCTAGGAGGCAGGTACTGCTAATGTTGTGCCCATTTTTCAGGTAAAGAAAACTTAGGTAACTTGTCCCAGGTTACACAGGTAGTAAAACGACAAAGCTGAACTTGAAACCTGGGCTGTCTGGATCCAGAGGCCATGTTCCTGATCACTGCATGGTTCTGCCTGACGGAGGGAAAGAGGGGTGAACAGCCACAAATGAAGTCTGTGTCGCCTTCCCAGAGAGCAGAGAGACACTGCTGGAGAGCTCGGAGAGGCAGCGGCAGAGCCAGCATAAAGCACCAGGTGTGTGCTGACTCTCAGCTCCCAGGTGGCCTGGAGCCCTTCAGTCCCTAGTGATGTCTACAAGGCCGTGGCCCGGCTACGTGGAGGCGAGACCACCGAGGGCTTTCACTCATGCCTGGCCCTGTCTCCTGCCCTGTCTCCTCCTACGCTCACTCCTCATGACTAACAGCATCTGGCCCCATGCCTGTGGCTAATGCAGGGGCTTGTCTGTGATGCAGGCAGAGAAACATGGGCAGGAAAGGAACAAGACGGTGCCCACGTCACGGTAAGGACCTGCCAGGCACACGGGACAGGCACACAGGGGCCAGGCCCAGATGACAGGTTGCTTCTTGTTTGCTTCTTTTCTTCCTGTCCGTCTCAGTGCAGCATCCTCTCAAAATGCTCCCTTTCAGTCTTCAAGGCTGAGGTTGGCGTTAGGAGGAGGCGGAAAGGGTGACGTCCTCACCCACAGAACAGCGCTCCTTCCCTGCTCTCCCTCCCTTGCACTCTGAGCTACTCAATGTGCCCGAGGTGTTGGGAAGCGCCCATCAGATGGGGAAGCCGCCCCCTGCCCCCAACTCTAATCCTAGCTGCGCTGGCACTCATCTCTGTCTTCCTTTGTGCTGCAGTCAGAGTGGTTTCTGGCCTCTCGAAAGGCCACGGCTCTTCATGTGCTCTGGACCCCAGGCCGTCCCCAAGCGGGGGACTGCTCTTTCTACGCTCGCCCCTCTCCTGCAACCTCCCCTTGTCCCTTTCTCCGGGGGGTCATCACATCAGCATACAGGAAACTATGTGCTCCTCCCCACCCCTCAAAACCAGCCACTCCCTGATCCGCGCCAGCCACGCTTCTATTTCTCTACTTCATCTTCACAGCAAAGTTGGGGAGGGAGTTGGTGTCACCCTCTTGTCACCATCCAATCCTTCTCCAAATTTTAATTACATATGATTTTGTGATGTTATTGTGTAACATACCAACGAATCTGTATTATAACACAGGTAAGTTATGAAGAATAAAAATGAACACGTGTAAAGCCACAACCGCACCCAAGAACTGAAACATGGCTAATCCTGTTGATTGGCCCTATATCCCCTCCCCCTCCCCTCTCCCATCCCTCTGCCTCCACATCGATAAACACTGCAGTCAAACTGATGAAAACCAAAGATAAGGCAGCAGGTTATGTTCAGGGCAACACTAATAAAAACGATGTGCACTTCTCAGAAACAACGGGAGACAGAAGGCCGTGGGGTGACATTTCTAAAATGTCAAAAGAAAAAATTATCAAAAATTTCAAATTCGAATTCTACTTGTATATAGCTGGTGAGAAAAATATCTTTAAAAACCAGAGGCAAAAGATATTTTCAGATAACTCAGAGAATCAGTTACCAGTTGGTCCACACCATGTACAATTCTGAAGGAAGTTCTTGAGGCTGACGGGAAATGGTGCCAAACAGAAATCCGGGTGTGAAGAAGGGAGGAAGCGCGCCGGAGACGGTGAGTATGTGGGTAAACATGAAGATCACTGTTTTTGTCTTAAATTCTGCAATGTCAGGACACTTTTAAGACCTTCAGAGACCCTATGCTCTGAGATTATGGTGCCTCTGCCCAAATAAAACCTACAATTAAATCAATCAAATCTAAAATAAACCATAAGGAAGCCAATTAAAGTTCTGATATCCTCTGGTCACTATTTCAGTTTTTTTTTTTTTAATTGAGTTCTTTTAAGTAATTTTATCTTCATTTTTAGTGTCTACTTGCTAGTGACAAACTAAGTAAGAGAGACAGAGAGACTCTAAAGAATAATGATGTTTATTTGGGAATAAGCAGGGAGTATGTAATGTGGAACATGAATGCCATGGAAACCCTGGGTGTATTTTAAGGGGAGGCGTAAAAGACTTGTAATACAGCCCACCAAACCACTTAAGGCAGGAAGGTGGCTGCAAAGATGACAAAAAAGTCTCAGGAGTCCATCAACTCTAGGCCCCAGCTGGTTACGCAGAGTGGAAAGTGGGGCCGGTGCTGTGGCGTAGCAGGTAAAGCCTCTGCCTTCAGCTCTGGCATCCCATATGGGCGCCAGTTTGAGTCCAGGCTGCTGCACTTCTGATCCAGCTCTCTGCTATGGCCTGGGAAAGCAGTAGAAGATGGCCCAAGTGTTTGGGCCCCTGCACCCACGTGGGGGACCTGAGGAAGCTCCTGGCTCCTGGCTTCAGATTGGTGCAGCTCTGGCCGTTGCAGCCATCTGGAGAGTAAACCAGCGGATGGAAGGCCCCTTCCTCTCTGCCTCCGCCTCTCTGTAACTTTACCTTTCAAATAAAAATAAATAAATCTTAAAAAAAAATAGTGGAGTGAATCAACGGAAGGAAGACCTTTCTGTCTCTCTCTCACTGTCTATAACTCTCTCTCTGTCTCTCTCACTGTCTAACTCTACCTGGCCAAAAAAAAAAAAAGTGGAAAGTGCATGTAGGGGTGCGAGCAGACTCTGAACGCAATCAGGCAGGCACTGTGAAACTGGTCCTCCTCATCACCGACTGCCTGGCTTTGAAGGAATCAGACACAGAGTGTGACACTGCGTTGGCCCAAACTGGGGGCCATCACTATAGTAATAACAACGCGGAATCAGGGCTGTGAGGGAAATGCTGCAGGATGTATACAATGCCTATCACCCATCCAGGTGATTCTTTCATTAGAAGCATGCCAGAATAGACTGGGGAAAAATCAACCATGCAAAATTTTTATTTAATAAAACTTTCCTGAGCTTATTAAAAAAAAAAAATGGGGCTGGCGCTGTGGCACAGTGGGTTAACGCCCTGTTCTGAAGTGCCGGCATCTCATATGGGTGCCAGTTCTAGTCCCGGCTGCTCCTCTTCTGATCCAGCTCTCTGCTATGGCCTGGGATAGCAGTAGAAGATGGCCCAAGTCCTTGGGCCCCTGCACCTGCGTGGGAGACCCAGAGGAAGCTCCTGGCTCCTGGCTTCAGATTGGCAGCTCTGGCCATTGCAGCCATCTGGGGAGTGAACCAGCATTTGGAAGACCTCTCTCTCTCTCTACCTCTCTCTGTAACTGTCTTTCAAATAAATAAAAATAAATCTTAAAAAATTTATTAAAAACACACACACACATTTAAAGGCAAAATGAGAATTATGTAAATTACTTTTGGCCACAAGGATTAACAACAAATTTGTTCAAGGGTTAATAACCAGGGTGACATCTGTCCAGGGGTGAATTAACAGTTGCTGGACAGGTGTCCTTGCAGAAGTTGTTTTATGTAAGGTTATAATGGCCTTTTGGAAAGGTTGTGGCAGTTCTGGCATTTTTTTTTTTTTGTGATAGATTTTATTATCAGCCAAACATTTATTTATTTTTTAAAAGATTTATTTGAAAGGCAGAGAAAAAGGGAGGAACAGAGAGAGGAGAGAAAGATCTTCCATCTGCTGGTTCATTCCCCAAATGCCTGCCACAGCCAGAGCTGGGCCAGGCCAAACCCACAAGTCAGAAACTCCATCTGGGTCTCTCACCTGGGCGGCAGGGACCCAAGTATGAGCCATCGTCTGCTGCCTCCCAGGCACATTAGCAGCACGCTGGGTTGGAAACGGAGGCGTGACTTGATCCCAGGCACTCTGACACTGGGTGTGGGTGTCCTAAGCAGCGTTGGCTTGACCCGCTATACCCCAACTCCTGCCCATGTCCTAGCTTTACTTATTTTTGGACACAAATGAGTCCATTTTGATTCTGACAATTTTCACACCAGTATCCTAAACGCACTTGATTTTATTTCTAGCTTACCCACAACTGGATGGTAGCCAGCCAAGAGCGTAGGACTCTGGAAAAATACACTGCAACCAGTACAGGAAGGAGTGAGAGGCCCGTCACTAGCTAGGGTGACCAAACTCCTGGGGATTCCTGGATTGTGGGGCCTCCAGGGCTGCAACTGGGACAGTTCTGCCTAAATCACGATGCCACCCTCACCAGCACCCAGAATGAGATCCTGACAAGTGGCCCTGACAGCAGCAAGCCATGCAGTTTAGCGATGGGCAAGAAAGAAAGCAGCTAAAAACTGAGTCTTGCTATCTCACAAGGAGACGTGCCCTTTAATTGAAGCAAACATTCCTCTTTCTCCCTCTCCTGCACTTTGTGTCTCATGTTTAATAGGCCAAAGACAGCGTGTATCCCTGGGAGCTGGCATCTAATGAAGGTACAAACGCAAAAGCAGGAAGAGCAGTGGTGTTGGCAGATGAGGGATGGCAGCTCACACGAGCTGGCTCACAGACCTCCCTTCCTCTGGGCACGACTGCCACTTGCCCCACGTGGCTGCAGGCGAGGAGGCCAAGGGAACAGAGTGCCTGCTTGCCTCTCGGCTGTTCTCACCGTCATCTCATTAGGCGCCAACCGTTAGCCTGCTGCAGAGGCTGGCCCCTCTCCTCCCTAGGAGAGGCTTTTCTGGTATGATAAAGCTTAGACTGACGCATGTGCCACGTGCATGAGGTATTCTGGGAATGGTGACGGAGAGTCTGGAGGAGAGTGGGGTGCGTGTCTGTGTGGGGGGGTGCGTGTCTGTGTGTGGGGGTGGGGGTGGGGTGGGGTGGGGGCGGGAACTCGCACAGGACCGGGCATCTGGTGGCTTCGCTCTAGGGCTCTAGCGGCAGGCTCTTAGGATGCCACTGGACTCACCCCATCTTTGCTCCACGTGGCCTCTGGTAAGGCACATACAATGCTAAAGTGGTAAATGCTAAATGAAACCTATCTAAAAGAAGGCAAATGGCCTGGGAACGGAACCAACCCCAGTGTCACGACTGTCAGGTGGTGTAACTGAGGAGCACAGCTGAGATTCACTGGTTGGGTGATCCTAGGCTGGCACCTGGCCTGTCTTCATCATCTCAGACTCTTTATATATAAAGTAGAAACAGCAATAGCTTACAGTCTGCATGGGAAGCCCTGGGCCTCCGTTTCCATATACTACAGGATAACAATGGTACCCATCTCACTGCGTTGTTGGGAAACTTAAATGAATTTACACGTCACAGACTTACAATGCCCACTGCAAAGTATGGGTTGAACAGGGGTGAGCCATCACAATTAACCAGAATTCTGAACATTCTGTTCATTGCATGCATCGGGCCCTGAAATGATCTTGGTTATAGAAGCCCTCCGAGGCAGGAGCTTTGTATTGCCAGGAATGCACTCCTGCTCTGTGGTTCCTTTCCCCACGCCATCACCGTAACTGCCGTTTCAAAGTCATCAATGACCACCCTGCTGCTGGATCCAAAAGAGAACTCATTCTCTTCAGAAACCATGGTGAACTGTTTAAAGTTTAACAGGCATCACTCCCCTGCTTACCTCTTCAATGCTTATCCTGCATTTTGAATAAAAGTGAAACTCTTTTCCATGGTGTACACAGCCCGTGTGATCTGGGTCCTTCGGCCTCATCCTGCTGGTCTCTGAGTTCCCTGTTACTGGCTTTGTGTCACTCTCTGGGCCACTACAAGCTCGTTTCAGCCTCAGGGCCTGTGCATGTGCTGCCCTGCCTGGAGCACTCTTCTCCAAGTTCCTAACACAGCTGGCTCCTCAGTATGGTGCAGCAGGGCCAGAAACACAGATTCTGAAACCAGGCTGCTTGGGTTTCAATTCTGTCTCCCCTGCTGACCACCTGCATGACCAGGTGAATTACTTAATCTCAGTGTCTCAGTTTTCTCAACTTAAAATATAGGGGTAATAACAGTATGTTCATCATCAGGTTGCTGAATTAAGTACGTTAATGTAAAGTGCTTGGAGCAGTGTCTGTACAGTAAGCACCATGGTGGTCACTATTTTTTTTTTTTTGAATTATTACTATTTTTGTTTAACACGGTCTCCTTGGAGAAATGCAATTCTTTATCAGATCAGCTAGTACTCACCAGTCCTTAAGTACCCTAGGTTTCTGTTTACAGTTTGTGTTCCAAGACAGGGAATTTGTCCTCTTTACTATTATATCCTAGCACCTAGTGCAATAGGTGATACAGGTAGGGACTCAATAATTACATGGTGAACAATTAGAGAAGTCATTACTAATATATTTCTTGCAAAGCTGGTACTCGTTTTGTTGAATTTCTTGTCACTTGCAAAAAAGGTCAGGTGCTAGGAAGAGAGGTGGGATTTGTTCAATCCGCTAGCTCAGCTGAGTGATAAATAGCCAGGATGTGTCTGCAAACGACACAGGTAACCACTGTACTCTCCTGCAGTAAACCCGTCACGGGCCCTGCACCTGCTGTTTGGAGCCGCCTCACTCACACCTGCCTGTGCTTGGCTGCAGCTCCCACAGCACAGCATGCGACTCTCAGCTGACTCTTGCTTTTAGGCCCTGTACTGTATTTTTCCTTACATGTCAGCTGTAGCTGACAATGCCCTGTTCTGACGTATTTGTTTTTCCATTCTTTTCCTGAGCTCTCTGCCCACTGCTGGCCCACAGGAAATGTTCAGTGCAAGCCTGGGGAGTGACCACTGCTGCAGCCTTTCCAGAAAGATGGCCTGGGGCAGCTTTGCATTCTGCACACTTCTGTACTCTGTAAGAGGGAGGAAGGTCAGCCAGCTGTCTTCTTACCTGAGCAGTTGTTGCTGCTGGTGGCAAAGCTGTGGACAGCGTGAGCATCCGCAGGGAGGCCTCCAATTGCTGGGGAGGCAGAAAGAAGTTGGGCACCACAATGGGCTCTGGGCTACGACAGGTTAAGGGACCAAAATACTCATAGTCTACCCCCTTGCCAGAACAGCACCTCCCTGACCTCAATTACCCACACTCCGGCTCCTGCCCAACTTCTTCCTGCCCAGGAATCCCTTGCTCAAGTGGGTCCCTCTAAGGAGAATGCCCTGCCCACTCCTAACAAATCCATCTACTCCTCTGTTAGGGGTCGGTTGAAATCTTGCCTCCAGGAGGCCTTCTCTTCAAGTTGGGCCATGGTGATTCTTTCTCCCTTTTATCCTGCAACACAGCAGACTGCTGGGTCACTTAGTCGGAATGACACTGGCTGCGGGCCTGCTGTTAACATCAGTAGGCCTAGTTTCTGACATATTTGTTCTTCCATTCTTCTCCTGAGCTTCCTGCCCACGACTGTTAGTCAGACGAGTGGGGCTGGCAAGGTGACTACCAGGGGGAGTGCCTTAGGCTGGATGGAGGTGTCTGGCTGTTCTCTGCTCACCTCCAGAAAGGACGGCTCTGCATGAGGGGCCGTCCATGGGCACAGCTGGCGTACCCAATCTGAGTGTGAGCCCCAGTGGGCAGGCCTATCCCGCACTTCTATCTTCTTGTACCCAGTACTGTGTTGAGAACATGGCATTCCACAAATATTTGTTGAATCAAAGCACTGATCCAGTGGAACCCTGAAGGAGGAGGGGGGAATATTCTGATGTTCCAATTTTTGGTTTCTGTTTAATAAGCTAAACACGGTTCCAACTCGAACTGGTCTACTAGGTTTCCTATTTTTTTTTTTTTTTTAGATTTATTTATTTATTTGAAAGGCAAAATTACAGAAAGAGAGAGAAGGGGAAACAGAGAGAGAGAGGTCTTCCATCTCCTGGTTCACTCCCCAAATGGCTGCAACAGCCAGGGCTGGATCAGGCCTAAGCCAAGAGCCAGTAGCTTCTTGCAGGTCTCTCATGTGGGTGCAGAGGCCAGCACTTGGGCCATCTTCTAATGCTTTCCCAGGCACATTAGCACGGGAGCTGGATTGGAAGTGGAGCAGCCAAGACTCAAACCTGCGCTATTATGGGATGCTGGCATTGTATGCCATGGCTTTAACCTGCTGTACCACAGCACTGGGCCCTAGGTTTTCCATTCTATCATCATTCTTCCATGTCAGACCTTGAACTTTAAGAGGGCAGCGACGATCTGTCTTTTCACAGCCATATTCCTGTCACCCTGCATGGTACCTGGGGCATAGCAAGTGAATATCCACTGAACAGTGAAATGCATCCATTTCCTGCTTTGGACCCAGTCTCTAGTTTTCCTCTAGAGAGGCAGGGTAGAGTGGAGGCCCTCAAGGGAAAGAGCCCTTTGACCTCAGGCCCTCCTCAGGGGCACAGGAGGTAAGGTGGGCGTATTAGCTGGTGCTGCTCTGACAGCCAGGGGCTCTGCCCAATGGCCAGCTGATTCTGAGGGCAGGCGCAGCACTGCTGTGCAGAGCCGGCCTACAGTGGCAGCACACTTTTCTAAAGCCCATCACCTCCTGGCTGCTTTAGGCTCCTGTCCCAACAGCCACTTTCTCTCTGCTACTCCTGGGTTCCCTCTCCTTAGTTTATGAACATGCTCAAGACTTCCACTCAGGAAAACACCAACCTCTGTCCCCCTCACTCCCTCCCACTTGCCACCCAGCTCTGTCATTCCCTAGATGGGTAACACCAGAAAGTTCTTGTTTGTACTTCAAGTCCTTCACTTTTAAAGTAGATATAATGATGACAGCTGTTGTTCTGAGGGGTTAGTGAGCTTGCACCTGCAGTGCTCAGAGGGGTCCCGACAAGATGAGCCCTCAACAGTCGGCCCCTGTCGCCTCCCCAGCGTATGGAAAACACTGCCAGTTCTGGCTGCCTCACTACTTGTCCGACCCACGGAAGTCTGCGTTGGTTCCCGCCTGAGGTGACGTCCTGCACGCTACAGCTGGGGCCTACATGCTGGTCGGCCCCCTGGACCGCTTTCGTCCGAGTGCTGGCCACTGCTTCCTGAAGCTCCGCAGCCCCGGTTCCCATCCGTCTCCCTCTTCCCTGCTCTCCCTGGCTGATAAGCTCCACTTGTTCGTGATTTGCCTTGCTCGGCCTGCTCTTTCCACACTGGCCATCCTCACAGCTCCGCCCCTAGGGGCGTGGTCCTCCCTTTCCACGCTCTTCTTGCTGCCCTCATCCGTTTCCAGAGTCACCCAGCGCTACGCCTGACCCCAAGCCTCCTCCTGGGTATCCCACGGGCAACGTGTCCACAACAACCATCTGCATGTCCCCGAAACCTGCCTCTATGCGCTTTTCCCTTTCCAGTAAGTGACATCACCGACCTAGTCACTCGGGACAGAAACCTCTAAGTCACTTTCTGTTTCCCTCTCCCAGGCCCTGCTCCTTAGCTAATCCTCATGGATCTACTCTCCTCCTCACCTACAGCAGTCCAGTCTTCAGGTCAGACTGTCTTTGTCTTTTATTATTACTCCAAGTTTCCTTGTGTTTCATCTTTTCTGATCTCATCTACCCTCTACAAGGCACTGGGACTTCTCATCTACGTAAATCAGACCGTAGCACACTCTTGTGAAACAGTGAATGTTTACCAGACATAACTTAAGTACAGGCTCTGTTGCTAGACAGGTTACATCATTAATTTTCACAATCTAAGTACTACTATTGGTTCCATTTCACGCATGAAGAATCTAATGTTTATTTGCTTCTGGGGCAGAAAAGGCCCTGCAAGATCAAGGCCTGGGGCCAGCGCTGTGCTGTAGTGGGTTAAGCCGCTGCCTGCAACGCAGGCATGCCATATGGTCACTGGTTCTTGTCCTGGCTGCTTCATTTGAGATCCAGCTCCCTCCTTATGTGCCTGGGAAAGCAGCAGGAAATGGCTCCAGTATCTGGGCCCCTGCATCTATGAGGGGGACCTGGATGAGGCTCCTGGCTTCAGCCTGGCCCAGCCCTGGCCATTGCGGCCACTGAAGGAGGGAACCAGCAGATTAAAGACCTCTCTCTGCCCCTCCCTCTCTGTAATTCCACCTGTAGAAAAAAACAAAACAAAACAAAACAGAACAAAAAAGATCCAGGCCCCTCCTTACCTCTCACCATCCTACCTGGCCCTGGGCTGCAGCCACAGTGAACTTTTGCCCATGGGCCAGGCTCCGTCACCTGGCCACCACTCAGCACACACAGGTCTGTGACTGCAAGTTCCCCTGGGCCCCGTGTGCACGGTGCCTACTCACCTTTAAGGTCCAGCTTGCATGGCTCCCTTACTGGGATAGTTGAGCACTTACAGCAGCTACCCTCTTGGTCCCTAGCATCTGTCCATGTCTCATCACAGCACTAGGAACGATAAACCACCTGTCTCCCACCTCATAATGGGAGCTTCTCCAGGTAAGGTCTGACTGAAATCTGCCCAGGGTGTCCAGCACAGGGCCTGGCAATATTCAGTTTTCAGAAGAATGAACAGTTGGGAAGGCCTGAAATTCAAGCAGCTCTTAAGAGTTGGGACACGCGTGGCACTTCCTCCACTGCCTGCATTCTGAGCACAGCTGGGATGACCGCGAAGGCGGCGAGGCCAGGGGACAATTTTGCCAGAGGCGCCAGCTTCGCTGAGCCTTTCCCCAGCCCACCCTCCAGCCTGCATCAAGACTCTCATCTGTGCTCTGTGTACAAATGCTTCCACTCAGCTGATTTTCTCAACCAACTTGTGAAACCACCAGAATTCAGCCTGCATTTGCTGACCCGTTGGCTGTGCAACAGTCAGTCACTCATGCAGACCTTAAAGTCTAGTGAATGAAACATGACTGCCTCCAGCTTCCAGCTCAGAAAGGTTAAATGTCTGAGGTCAGGAGCCAGGTCTAGGCTCTCTGACTTCCAGGAGATGAAGACCTTCACTCAGGAAAGCTATTTGCTTCACCTACAGCCATGTGAGGCCCCCATCTATTGTCAGGACACCAAGGCAGGTGATCTGATCAGCTGGTCAGGCGCAGCTAGGAAGGCTGAAGATGATCCTAAGTGGATCTCCGCAAAACATCCCAGTCTGTCCCAAAGGAGGGCGAGGGGAATGTAGGTGTCCCTTCTTCCCGAGACTCAGCAACTCCATATCCACGGTGTCCACACCTTAGCTCCATCACTTGCCTTTAAAAAATTAAATCTTAGGCACATCATTCTAACTATGAGCCTCATTGTCTTTTCATGCAAAACACAGATGCAGATGACAACTGCATAAAAATTTGGTCTGACTGAAAAACAGATGAAAAGATCCAGGCACACAGTAAATAATCAACATAACACGCCCCCCCCCCCCCCCCGCCCCGCCCCGCCCCATCTATTTCAACTGATCCAGAGCCTTGCCTTCAGGTGGTAAAATACCAGCTAGATGAATCAGATAAATTAGAGTGGGCTAGGCTAATGACTGCTACTAACATCTAAACCCCAAACAACATCATGCCTCAGGGCTAGTGTTAATGGTAGAATCGCAGCACTGTCATGTCTTCTGAAGGAAGGGCCTTCCCATGTCCCCAGTGTGCTCCCTGAGAGGGGCCGCCGCTCACAACCACACTTACACACTCGGCTAAATGCCTGCAGGTGGCTTCAGAGGCCACTGTGGGAAACACCAAAGGATACAGGAGGTGGCTCTGCCTTGCGGACACCTCTGGGCCAGTTGCTTCCTGCTTCTGCCTGGTGTCAGGGGAGTGCACAGGTGGCCCCTTGGGGGTTTCCCTTTTGTTCTGGGAGACTAGGTGTAGAGGGAAGTTCTCGAAGCTGTCAGCAGAGTCACTGAGCTCACTGGAGGCAGCTTTGTCCTCAGCCTGGGCCTCTCGCTTGGGCTCCTTGTTCTGATCTGCCCGTGGGGGGCGCTGCCCCACAAACGTACTGCTCTGCTTGGCTCCTGAGAGCTTCAGGAATGGGAGAAGCCGAGGGTTGGCTGAGGCAGGCTCTCTAACCTCGCCCGTGGAGGTCTCGTTCTCACAAGCGGCGGGATCTTCCCTTGGAAGGTTGGCAGCCCTATCTGGGCCAGACAGAAAGCCACTTCTGCCCTTGAGCTCCTCTCTGGGGAAAGGCTCTGAGGAAGGGCAAGAGGGCCCCCTCCTCGGCACCTCGTCAGGCGGAGGGCTGATGATCTCGCTTATGTCTGACATGAAACTGGACCAAGGGCTAGTTCTATCTGTCACGGTGGTGATCTCGTTCAGGGTCCTGGGTTCAATGATGTCTTCCTCATAGTCCTCATCGCTGTCGGCCGGGCCTGTCTCAGTGTCCTCACTGCTCTGCATCCTTGTAATGGGTACCATACGCCCCAAGGACTCACTGAGCAGTCCTCTTCCGTTTGAAGTCTCTTCAGGAACAGGGGCAGGTGGGGAATTTGTGCCTTCATCTGGAGCTCTTGCCAATGGCTCGTCTGGAGTTGGGCTTTGTTCTTGTAAGGCCTCTGCGTCCTGCAAATCCGGGAGGGTGGTGACCTCTTTGCTTCTATTCCTGGCTCGGTGAGAACTCAGAACTGCTTGAGAGTTCCTGGTGATAGTCTGCAGATCTGAACAGCAACAGATATCACTCTTACTACAAGGCAGGGCCACAGACTACTTGTTTCCCACACCAGCCTCTCGCTTCAGAAGTACTCGTGCAATCAGAATTTGAACAAAGTTTAAAGACAGTTAATCCACCTAAGAGCCAGTGAAACTATATTCAAGGCAGGACAATTTCTAGTACTTTATTCTAGTATCAGAGGACCAAAATCTAATCTATGTATAGCTGTGGATACATCAGTGGAAACGCTTTGAGACTATCTGCTCCTGCTCAGGAGTTCTTGGGAGCTGGGAGTCCTGGCGGGCATGGTCATGATTCCAGTTACTTCATTCATTACCTATATTAGAAACCAAAATGAGAATCCACTTATTTACCTATTTGATGAGTTACTAAAACTATCTATTTTACTTGGAAAATAAAAGCAAAGAAATATCAATTACCCAGATGATAAGCACAGCAGGTTTACAGAGAAAATGGAGGGAGCAGGGAGTGTTGGAGAGGCAAGGCTTTACAAATCTCTACTGCAGGGGAGGGCTTTGGCATGGTGGCTATAGCTTCTGTGTTCCCCACTCATCTAATCCATGCCCCCTGCTCCTCTGGCTGAGTAACCAGAGGTCAAGAAGGGAGATATGCTCAGAGTCAAACAGCAAGTCTGTGCCAGAGACCCACCAAAGTCCCAGGCCTCCTGCCTCGCAGTCAAGGTTCCTTCCACTGCCCCCATGTTTCTCTGCCATACTACTTTGTGCCTCCTGTTAAAAGGAAGGTAGTTAACAGAAGAAAAAGGGAAGATGGTGAAATCCAATGGTCTCTGTCACAGGGACTTGTCTAAGGGCAGATATTCAACTGCTTTTTGAATTGGCATCTAGTGACCAGACCGCAAGCAGAAAGGCCCTGAGCCGTACCCGTGATCAAGGAGCTGACTTGCAATACCAGGTTGTTGGATTTCTCCAGGATGCACTTGCTCTCAGGGTCTAGGCGGCTGGCTCCTGGCCCAACATTGTCCCTGGGGCTCTCCTGGCACTCCAAGATGGTGGTAGGAGTCTGAGGGCTGAGGGGTAGGAAGGGCTTGGTGAGCTTCTGACTGAAGTACCGCTGGATTTGATCTAGCTCACTCATATTCTTCCTACAAACAAAAAGGGGGAAAGAAGACAAAAGGGTCATTTATGGAGATTAGAAACATTTTTTAAAAAATATTTATTAATTTGAAAGGCAGAGTTACAGAGAGGCAGACGCAGAGAGAGAGAAAGAGAGAGAGAGAGAGAGAGAGGTCTTCTATCCACTGGTTTACAACCCAAATGGCTGCAATGGCCAGAGCTGTGTCAATCCAAAGCAGGAACCAGGAGCTTCCTCCGGGTCTCCCATATGGGTGCAGGGGCCCAAGGACTTGGACCATCTTCTATTGCTTTCCCAGGCCATAGCAGAGAGTTGGATTGGAAGTGGAGCTGCTGGGACTTGAACTTGCACTCATATGGGATGCCGGACCTGCAGGCAGCAGCTTTACCCAATACGCATACCCCACAGTGCGGGCCCCTCATGTTGCTTCTTTCACATCTATTTCCCCTGATGTACTGTGAGCTCTGTGCTGATTCCTTTATATATACTGCATCCAGGATAGCACTTGACACAAAATAAATGATGTTGATGGAAAAGTGGACACAAATAAGTGACTTTAAAAAAAAGGTCAGTTTCCCTAACTAGGGAAATCACTAGGGTCAGTTTTCCCATCTCTGTGGGGTAGGTGCTGTTACATAGCGGGTTATGCCAGTATCTGCAGGGCCAGCAACCAACATTGGGTGCTGGTTCATGTCCTGGCTGCTCCATTTCTGATCCAGCTCCCTGCTAATGCACCTGGGAAAGCAGCAGAGGATGGCTCAAGTGCTTGGGCCCCTGCACCTGCATGAGAGACCCGGAAGAAGCTCCTGGCTCCTAGTTCAGCCTTGGTTGTTGTAGCCATTTGGGGAATGAACCAGCAGATAGAAGACCTCTCTTTCTGTTTCTCCCTCTCTCTGTAGCTCTATCTTTTAAAGAAAAAAATTCTTAAAAAAAAAAAAAACCAAAAACTTCTCTGTTCAAAAACTTTATAGGGCAAAGTTTATTCTCCTGGTTCTCCAATGAGAAATCACATTAACTTTCAGTTGCATAGGATTTTACGTTTATGCTGCCAAAAACATCTTTTTAATGCTCAGCCAAGCAGATGAGATCAGTAGTTACTATTTTACAAATAAGGAGCATGAGGCTCAGAGAACTGACAGGATGCATCCAGGGTAAGTACTAGTAAGTAGTATGTAGCTACTCAGATGAGAATCCAAGACCCTGCACCTTCACCAGATCAAGCTACTCTCTGCTCTACTTCTGTTCTATTCACCCTTTAAGGTTGCAACCTTAAAGGTTATTTCTCCTTTTCAAAAAGTCCATTTCCCCAAATTGTTAGGTTATCTCTCCCTTAAACTTTTTTTAATAGAAAGCTTTTATTTAATAAATACAAATTTCATAAGTACAATTTTTGGATTATAGTGGTTCTTCTCCCCATACGCGCCCTCCCACCCCGAAACTGTCCCACCTCCTACTCCCTCTCACATCACAGTCTTCATTAAGATTCACTCCACTTCCAGTCCAGCTCTCTGCTATGGCATGGGAGAGCAGTGGGGAATGGCCCACGTCCTTGGGCCCCTGCACTTGTGTGGGAGACCTGGAGGAGGCTCCTGGCTCCTGGCTTTGGATCAGCTCAGCTCTGGCTATTGCGGTCATTTGGAGAGTGAACCAGCAGAATGGAAGACCTCTCTCTCTCTCTACCTCTCTGGCTCTACCTCTCTCTGTAACTCTTTCAAATAAGTAAAATAGTTCTTAAAAAAGATTCATTTTTAATTATCTTATATACAGAAGATCAACTCTATACTAAGTAAAGATTTCAACAGTTTGCACCCACACAGACACACAAAGTATAAAGTACTTTTAAAGACTAGTTTTATCGTTAATTCTCATAGTACAACTAATTAAGTACAGAGGTCCTACATGGGGAGCAAGTGCACAGTGACTCTTGCTGTTGATTTAAAAATTGATAATTTATTTGGCCATAATCAAAATGGAAGTTCTCTCTTCCCTTTAGAGAAATGTACCTCCTTCTTTGATGGCCCCTTCTTTCCACCAGGATCTCACTCGCAGAGATCTTTCATGTAGATCATTTTTTGCTACAGTGTCTTGGTTTTCCATGCCTGAAATGCTCTCATGGGCTTTTTAGCCATATCCAAATGTCTTAAGGGCTGATTCTTAAGCTAGAGTGCTGTTTAGGGCATTTGTCATTCTACGAGTCTTCTGCGTGGCCCGCTTCCCATGTTGGATGGTTCTCTCCTTTTTAATTCTATCTATTATTATTAGCAGACATTTGGTCTTGATGATGGTATTGTTAAATGCCAACTTAATGGAATCTGGAGTCCCATGGCAAGTTTTTAGCTTTATCCTTAGGGGTAAGTCCAAGGGAACATGTGCCGTAAAATGTACATCTCCTCCCTCCCTTATTCCCACTTTTATTTTTAACAGGGATCAATTTTCAATTGAATTTAAATATCTAAGAATAATACTGTGTTAAGAGTTCAACCAATGGTATTAAGTAGAAAAAGAAAATACTAAAAAGAATAAAATAGTAAGCTGTTCCCTGACAGGGCAAGGGCTGATCAAGTCATTGCTCTCTAATTTCTCCCTTTCTCTCTCTATAACTCTGCCTTTCAAATAAATAAATAAATCTTAAGTAAATAAATAAATAAATAAATAGTCAAACTCTTAGACTGACATTCAAGGCCCTGCTGCAGTCTGACCCACCATGCATTTTATGTTCACCTCTTCCTACCTCTACTATTGGTATTTTCTCAAAGGTGACTTGCTGCTTCATGCCTCTGGGCCTTGGCACATGCTATATCTTTTTCTTTTTTTTAAAAGAGATTTTATTATTTATTTGAATGTCTGAGGTAGAGGGGGAGAGAGAGCAAGAGAGAGAGAGAGAGAGAGAGAAGGAGAAAGAGAGATGTTGCATATACTGGTTCACTCCCCGGATGGCCACAATGGCTGGGGCTAGGCCAAAGCCAGGAGCCAGGAGTTTATTCCAGGTCTCTCACATGCATATCAGGGGCCCAAACACTTGGGCCACCTTCTGCTTTCTTTTTTTTTTATTTTTTATTTTTATTTATTTATTTATTTATTTATTTATTTATTTGACAGGCAGAGTGGACAGTGAGAGAGAGACAGAAAGGTCTTCCTTTGCCGTTGGTTCACCCTCCAATGGCCGCCTTGGCCGGCGCGCTGGGCCCACCTTCTGCTTTCTCAGGCCATCAGCAGGGAGTTGGATCAGCAGTGAAGCAGCTGAGACTCAAACAGGTGCCCACACGGGAAGCCAGCATTGCAGGTGGCATCTTTACCTGTTAGGCCACAATGCCAGGCCATGGGCACATGCTATTTCTACACAGAATGTCTTTCACATTTGTTGACCTGTTCCTTCAAAGACCAGTTCAATGTGACTTCTTTAAATCTTTCCACGACCAACTTAGAGTGTTACTCATTCCTCTGCCTACCCCTGGCCAGGAAACCAGCAGATTCTGCCACCCTGCATTACAATTATCTGGCAATCTCCTACGCTGGGAACGGCAGAGCCAGGACCGCAGGTCTGGCCTATCTATTTGACTCTGAAGCTAATTCATTCTTATGTACCACACTCCTCACTAGATAACCAAGGGTTGATCCTTCTGATCTCTCATGGCCTGCTCAGTTCTCATCATGACTGACTCGGATGCCAATTAAACTGAGAGAGGGACAGAAAGTATTAACAGGATGGATGTTGGTCTGCAAGAAGTCAGCGGCTGTGAGGATGAAGACAGTGGGCAGAGGCCGGCGCTGTGGTGCAGTAGGTTAATCCTCTGCCTGTGGCGCCGGCAACCCATATGGGCGCTAGTTCTGGTTCTGGCTGTTCCTCTTCCAGTCCAGCTCTCTGCTATGACCTGGGAAAGCAGTGGAAGATGGCCCAAGTCCTTGAGCCCCTGCACCCATGTGGGAGACCTGGAGGAAGTTCCGAGGAAGTTCCTGGCTTTGGATCAGTACAGCTCTGGCTGTTGCAGCCATTTGGGGAGTGAACCAGCAGATGGAAGGCCTTTCTCTCTGTCTGTCCGTCTCACTGTTTGTAACTCTACCTCTCAAAATAATAAATACAATCTGAAAAAAAAAAAAAAAAAGACAGTGGGCAGAATTAGGCATATTTGAGGCAGTGCAGATGTGAGGGAAGTTATTATTAAATTTTAGTGAAACATCTAAAGTTGCTGTATTTGCAGGTGGGTCAGTAATAGAGCTCTCTAAAGGAATGGAAGACCCTGAGCTGAGACAGATTCATCCATGAGGAGGTCTATGCAGCTCCAGGTCCCACCTGACACTCAGGTGCACAGAACCTTCTACTGAACCTCCGAGAATGGTGGAAGCTGACGAAATGTTGCACTGCACGTGGCCACCACCCATTCCACCTTGAGTTCCACCTGGGTTCCTGGGTTTTTTCTCAGTCTCACCTGAGAGAAGTCAGAATGGAGGTGTTGGAGGACAGAGGTGATGTGGTTGATTTGTCATCATTTGGCAAGGCCGCCTCTCCCTGCTGCAGGAACTCATGAAACCGGCGGATGTTCTGCACGTGCTCTTCATGGCGTGACGCCTGGCTTCTTGTGGTCCCGCTTCTGCCCAAAACAGAAAGAAAAGGCAGCGAATAAATCCCAGCCAACGAGAAAAATCCTAGTGTGACGATAAACAAACCACTCTCCTGAAATGGTAATGTAAGCCTACCACTACTACTACAGTCTGCTTCATCAGCTCTTGCTTGGGTTATAAATGTTTCACAAATTATTCTGCCTCCAGCCTTAACCACCCCTTCAAATCTATTCTGTACATCATAGCCTAAGTGACTTCCAAAACATAGATCTTAAGAAACTAGAAGAGGCCAGCGCCGCGGCTCACTAGGCTAGTCCTCCGCCTAGTGGCGCCGGCACACCGGGTTCTAGTCCCGGTCGGGGCACCGGATTCTGTCCCGGTTGCCCCTCTTCCAGGCCAGCCCTCTGCTGTGGCCAGGGAGTGCAGTGGAGGATGGCCCAGGTGCTTGGGCCCTGCACCCCATGGGAGACCAGGAAAAGCACCTGGCTCCTGGCTCCTGCCATCAGATTAGCGTGGTGCGCCGGCTGCAGCGCGCCGGCCGCAGCGGCCATTGGAGGGTGAACCAACGGCAAAAGGAAGACCTTTCTCTCTGTCTCTCTCTCTCGCTGTCCACTCTGCCTGTCAAAAAAAAAAAAAAAAAAAAAAAAAAAAAAAAAAAAAGAAGAAACTAGAAGAACAACATGTATGGAGCCTTTATGTATTTCAAGTCTTATAGGAATTCAATGTGTATTAATCTATTTAATCATTCCTTTTGAGCTTTGGCTTTTCCTTTTTAATTATAGCACAAATCTCACACACAATACTGAAGAATTTGACCCAGAAATGCCCTCCTTCTTTTTTTCTTCTTTTAAAAAAAGCAGCTTTATTGATACAATTCACTCATTTAAAATGTACAGTTCACTGTTTTTTTTTTTTTTTTTTTTTTGGTACATCCAGCTATGTAACTGTCAATACAATCAATTTTAGACATTTTCATGTTTAAATAAACCCTTTACCCACTAGTCATCTTTCCACATCCTCCCCCACTTCCAAAAATTCCCAGGCCTAGGCAATCACAGGAGACTTCAAAAAGTTCTTGGAAGTGTGGAATAAAAAGATAAAAATGAAAATATAAACTTTCTCAACATAAGTTCCATCATGTTCAAAACACACAAGTGATATCAGCCACAGAGTCCATTGCCAAAAAACTGAGGGTTTTTTCTCCAGTTAGTAACTGAGAGAGGGACTCTTTAAGACCTTTTAAGTCTTTAACAGGTACTCTTTAAGACCTTTTAAGAGTAAGAAACAAAAAGAAATGAGAAGGAGCCAAATCAACACTGTGAGGTGGAAGCCTAATGGTTTCCATCAAAACTCTTACAAAACTTCCCTTGTTGGTCAGAGGAATGAGCAGGAGCATTGCTGTGGTGGAGAAGGACCCCTGCTAAACGTTGTCTTATTCTCAAAATACTCTCTTACTAAGCTGATGTTATCATTCTTCAGCCCCCAGAAAGTCAAAAGGCAAAATGCCTTGGGAATCTCCAACAGACTGTTCCCATGACTTTTTTTTTTTAAAGATTTATTTTATTTATTTGAAAGAGTTACAGAGAGAAGTAGAGACAGAGAGAGAGGTCTTCCATCCGCTGGTTCACTCCCCAAATGGCTGCAACTTCTGAAGCTGCGCCAATCCAAAGCCAGGAGCCAGGAGCTTCTTCTGAGTCTCCCATGTGGGTGCAGGGGCCCAAGGACTTGGGCCATCTTCTACTGCTATCCAAGGCCATAGTAGAGAGCTGGATCAGAAGAGGAGCAGCCAGGTCTCAAACCGGTACCCATATGGGATGCCAGCGCTTCAGAACAGGGCTTTAACCTGCTGCGCCATAGTGCCGGACCCTGTTTGCATGACTTTTGCTCTGGGTCAGTTTGCTTTTGCTTTTACTAAAGTACTTTCATCTTTATTTATTTATTTTTAAAGATTTTATTTATTTATTTGACAGGTAGAGTTACAGACAGTGAGAGAGAGACAGAGAGAAAGGTCTTCCTTCTGTTGGTTCGCTCCCCAAATGGTTGCAACGGCCGGAGCTGCGCTGATCCGAAGCCAGGACCCAGGAGCTTCCTCCGGGTCTCCCACATGGGTGGCAGGGGCCCAAGCACCTGGGCCATCCTCCATTGTTATCCCAGGCCACAGCAGAAAGCTGGACTGGAAGAAGAGCAAGCGGGACTAGAACCAGCACCCATATGGGATGCTGGTGCCGCAGGTGGAGGATTAACCTAGTGCACCATGGCGCTGGGCCCAATTTCCTCTTTTAGTAGCCATTGGTTAGCTTATGTTGTCTTCAGGATTGCCCTGGTTAAGGCACATTTCATCTCCTATTACAATGTTTTGAAGAAATACTTCAGGATCTGATATCACTTAGTTAAGGTTTCCATCAAAAGCTCTGTTCTTGTCTGCAGACGATCTGGGCACGACAGTTTTGGCACTTACTTCAACTTCTTGGTCAGAATTCTGTAAGCTCAACCAATTAAGATGTATTTGGGGGCCGGCGCTGTGGCACAGCAGGTAAACCTGCCGCCTGCAGGACACAGCAGAGAGCTGGATCAGAGTGGAGCAGCCGGGACTAGAACTGGTGCCCACAGGGGATGCCGGCGCTTCAGGCCAGGAGGTTAACCTACTGTGCCAGAGCACCAGCCTCAATAAATAAATCTTTAAAAAAAAAAAAGAAAAGATGTCTTCGATATTGGCTATTTTAACTGCTGGCTCTCTTCAATTAGGGAACGAAGCAGCTTAATTTTTCCTCTCAAATTGATAAGGATGGACTGCTGCTCTAGCCTTCATCTTTAATAACACCTTTAATGACATTTCTCTCTCTGTTATACATTTTATTCTTTAAAACATTAAAGATTTATTTGAAAGGAAGAAAGAGGGAGGAGAGAGAGACAGTGAGAGAGAGATGTTCCTCATCTGATGGTTTACTTGTCTAATGCTTGCAACAGCTGGGTTGGGCCAGGCCAAAGCCAGGAACCAGGAGGCTGGACTCAGTCTAGGTTTCCCACGTGGGTGGCAGGGACCCAAGGAGGTGAGCCATCACCTGTTGCTTCCCAGAGTGTACATTAGCAGAAAGCTGGGATTACCAGTGAAGTTGGGAGTAAAACCCAGGCATTCCAATATGAGATGTTGGCACCCCAACCAATATCTTCACCTCTGAGTCAAATACCTGTCCTTCTAGTTAATTCTGAAATTGGAAACTTTTTAAGGCTGTTTTGCTGTGTGCCCTGCATTGCCAAATAAATATTAGCATCGGCGTTCTCATTGCTGCAAGGAAGCCAGCAAGGATTGATAGGGATTGTGCTGAATCTGTAGACTTGAGGAATATCGCCATTTTAAGAATGGACATAGTATGTCTATTTATGCAGATTTTCTTGAATCTCCTTCAACAATGTTGAAAGTACATTTCAGAAAGTGCATTTTTCACTTCGTTTGTTAAACTTATCCTAAGTATTTTATTTTATTTGATGCTACTGTAAATGGAGTTTTCTTATTTTTTTCTTATTCATTGCTGATGTATAGAAATACAATTTATTTTGCATATTATGTTCTTAAATTTTCTCAGTTTAAACTTTTAATATGATAAACATTGATAGATATAATCCAGATAAACAATCCTCTTTGGAGTCATCAATAATTTTTAACAGTACAGAAAGTAGTATGGAGTAGTATGAAGTAGAAATGTCTAAGAACTGACATGTAATACCTGTCACATAAACCTAACGCTTTGGTGAGTGCTGACAGATGTATATATTCAAGAAAACCACAACCACAAGGAAATGAATGTATTTATCACTTCCAAAGCTTCTTCTTGTCTTTTCTAACTCCTTCCTCCTTCCCACTCCATTCATCTTGCCTTATCCCTAGGTAACCACTGATCTGCTTGGTCATGATACGTTAGTATGCATTTTCCAGAATTTTAAATCAGTGGGATGGTATACAATGTACTCATTTTTGTCTAGCTTCTCTCCTTCAGCATAATTATTTTGAGAATCATTTTATTACATCAGTGATTTGTGAAAAAAAAAATGTTTAGTAACATTTCATTGTATGGACATACCATAATTTGGTTATCCATTCATCTATTTGTTGATGGGTCTCTGAGTTGTAATTTTTTAATTATAAATAAAGGACAAAGACTAAAACATTTGGGAAGTGCTACTCCAGCCATTTCACCTGTAAAATGAATAATAAAACCTTTCTCTTAAGGTTACTGTGAAAACTCAGTCAGCTAATATGTGTATAAATTACATAAAAATGAGTTATTTCTGTTCTCACCTGTTATGTATACTTCCTAAGAACCTTGAGGTAATATATTATTTTCATTTAACAAATGAGAAAGCTAAGGCTCAAAGAATTGAAGTAATTAGCCTAAGGTCACATCTAGCTTGTAAGTGGTAAAGCTGTCCAACTTGGATTCCAACGCTATCCAACCCCAGAGCCACTCCACCAAAAGAGCTGGATCAATCTGGTGAGGTGGTTAGAAGGGGAATTACAGCTTTGCCCTGCATGGATGAGTGGATTATAATATGACATTTTGATGAGGTCCTTCTGAAGTGGTGACACAGGGACTTTTTAGTGGACAAAAGGCAAATCATTACTTTGAGCTTTTAAAATTACTAAACAGTGGGTACCAGGGACACGCTCATCCTGCTGTACATCTCACTGGTTAGGGTCAAAGTAATACTTACAAAATAGATAACAGGAGAATTATCTAAGCCCACAGTCTAATGATTAATAGACACAAAGCTCCCTCTATCCAGAGGCCAGAGATTTCTTCTTGTGTGAAGATGATTTAGCCCTGAAGTGACCTTCAAGTAGATGGACAGCACCCCAGTGTCCATCCTAGAATAAAGGGTCTACTCAGCAACTGCTGTTGTCGGAGTGGCTACTGAGAGATAGGTGTGGGAAAGATGCTGGCGGAGAGAACGCCAAATAGCACTAGGGCCTGGAAGGGGGGTGGTGGAAAAAGCAAACTTAATCATACATCCCATCCTTTGACAGGGTGGAACATGCTCTAGCCTGGATCCAAGGTCAGCTTCGTGAAAGGATGGGTCAAAAATTACAAAAAGTAACCACTTCAGTTCTGGGAAAGGAGAGATTTATTTCTCTCATGGCTGATGACTGAGTTTAGACAAAAAGGCTAAAGGGAAGTGTCCCTTGCATTGAAGTGATTCTTTCAATAGCAGTAAAAATTCTAGATTGTATCTTTATGAAAACTTTGTTTTCATAGGATCTTAGGGTTCCCGGGAGGTTGTGGTAGATCAACAAAGCTCTTTCCCTGTCTCCAGTTTCCTCCTCTAATGAAGGAGAGGGACGATGAGCCAGTTCTCACACATCTACCCTTTGACCCCATTTCTTCCATCAAGAACTCACTCACTTCCTAGGTGAGGAGAAATCAAGTTCCTTTGAAGAGATGTGAGCAGGCTGGTCTGGAGTTGATCTTGCGATGCAGCTGGGGAGTGGCGCATACATATCAGAGGCAGGGAAGGAAAAGGGACTGTACACTGGGATCTGTAGAAGCAATGAGAAAAACAGTATACCAGATACCATGCATGCTTCTGGAACAAAGCGGTATATAATTTGTAAAGTTTATTGTGTACGTATAAAGATAATTTCCTAAGTACTTTTCATGTGATGAACACTGTTAAGCAACTGACATATATTTTCTCCTTTAAACTATTCAGTAATCTTGTGAGGTAAGTACTCTCATTATCACTGTTTATTTAAGAGGCTGAAAAGACACATGGTGGTGGGGGGAGCAGGAGAGACAATCCCATCTGCTGCATTATGCTCCAAATGTTTGCAATGGCCACAGGCTGGGCTGGACCTGGGGCTGAAGCTGAGAACTCAATCCAGGTCTCCCACATGGGTGGCAGGGACTCAGTCACTTGAGCCATCACTGCTGCCTCCCAGCATCTAAATTAACAGGAAGCTGGAGTCAGGAGCCAGAGATGGGTATCAGACCCAGGCACTCTGATATGGGACACGGGTGTCTTAACTGGTAGGCTACGTGCCTAACCCTATTATCTCTACTTTACAGACTATGATATCAGACTGTATTTTAATGCTTTATCTACACCTATGCTCTTGTTCCTCCAACCAGCTTGTGAGCTGCTGGTTAGACATAATTTTACATTTACTTTATATGTGGGGATAATCTAGCTGTTTCTTGTCTTATGAGTACCAGAATTGATCTGCAGAAATGATCTTCCTAAATAGGGACTGATGAACTCTTGCTCATTTTCTCATAAATATATTCACTCAATATTTACTGATGTCCACTCTGTGCCTGATCCTAGGCCAGACATGAGTGAAAGAAATATGAATAAAACAGCCTTTGACTTGATAAAGAGTTCCCCTGGCTCCTGCCATCGGATCAGTGCGGTGCACCGGCCACAGCGCACCGGCTGTGGCGGCCATTGGAGGGTGAACCAACGGCAAAGGAAGACCTTTCTCTCTCTCTCTCTCTCCACTCTGCCTGTCAAAAAAAAAAAAAAAGAGTTGTCTAAACTCATCACTGTCAATTTGCCTCTTCCTTTTTCCCCCTTATTTATTTATTTTCAAGACTTATTCATTTATTTGAAAAGCAGAGTGAGAGCAAGAGTCAGAGGTATCTTCCATCTGCTGGTTCACTTTCCAAATGGCCACAAGAGTCAGGGCTGGGTCAGGCTGAAGCTAGGTGCCAGAACTCCATCTGGGTTTCCCACATGAGTAGCAGGGACCCAAGTTCTTCAGCCATCATCTGCTGCTTTCTAAGATGTGCATTAGCAGGACGCTGGATTGGAAGCAGACAGCAGCGACTCACGCTGGCCTTCTAGATATGAGACACTGGTACTGCAAGCAGTAGCCTGACTTGCTGCACTATAATGGCAGCCTCTCTTTTTATTTTTTAATCAAAGATCAATGACTTTAATGCAATAGAATTTAGGACAAGTTCAGTTAATATTGTTTCACATTCTACACTGCAGCCATTTTAGTTAAAAAGAGATATAATTCAAGCATTATAAAATTCACTCCCTTAAAGTGTTCCAATTCACTGGTTTTCAGTATATTGAGAGTTGGTGCAACCATCACTACTTTTTCATTCTAGAACATTTTCATCGCTTTGTTCAGGTCAGGAGATGGTTACCAGATACAAATATATAGCTTGTTTCATAAGCTGGAAAGTACCGAACACAAAAGATCTTCTCAGACGTCTTGCTCAGTAGAAACCTTTCTGGTGAGGAGTGTCAATCAGGATACCTACCAGTGATCCTGTGGTCTCCACCCCACGTCTTGCTTGCCTTTCTTCTTTGAAGCGCATCAAATTCTCCAAAGGTGAGATAGCAACTTTTATCTGGCCCTGGCACTCTCCACTGAAGTCTGTGATATTGTACCAGCCACAGATAAACTGGAAGCCAGAGAGAAGTGGGGAGAGGTCCACCGAGGCAAAGCCAATCACCCTCTCCTCATCTGTGGGGGAAAGAGAAGAGCGGGACAGTATGGCTGGGCCTGTCATGCCACTGAGATTAGAGGCGTAACACAGAGAAGGTGACTCAAGGGCCTGGGGGAGTTTAGTGGATTCCCAAGCTATCACAGAAGACAGGTAACGAGACTGCGAGAGACTGGTGACCAGAGCCGGCTTTAACTGTTATGAATTCCTTTTCTGTACAGCAGGGGAAAACTGGCAGCACTGAGCTCTGCCCTCTTTAGAGAGGTGATCAGGAAACATTCCCAAGCTTAAGAAGCCGTTGTTCTCTCCCCTAGGCTACCATGTCTCAGGATTTTCCTTAGGACGGTGGGTTGCAAAATTATAATTATGAGGGATTTGCACTTTCCTATTTATACCAAAAGACATCTATACCTATTTTCCAAGTGTGTAGGACATACATATGCATTATACGTAAGAACAGAGTGACACTTACCAACGACAAATAACCCCTTGGGAAACCACTACAGGGTGCAAAATGAGCTTGGGCTTTGCTCTATAAGATATGGGGCTGCCCTTAGTGAGAAGTGGGAAGACTCCCTTCTTTATTAGAAAGCCACTGTGTGATGACTTTTATTCTCATTTTGCTCCCTATTTCTTATTTCTGACATGAAAGAAGCTGGGACAAGGAGGGCCCTTTCGCTCCACAAGTTCCTACCTTGCACTGGTTCTATTCTCATATACTGAATATCAAAGCTGAGCCATATTGACACAGCTATGAATTTTCATTTGCTAAATAAATCAAAGAATGCACACTTTCAAGAGTAGCAGTCATGAGTTCTTGTAGTCATGTAGTTCTTGGTGCATGGTCCTGGTGGCACAAATGCATCACACACTAACACTGGGGGAGGGGAGGGGAGGAGAGGGGACTTGCCATTTATTAACCGCAGTTATGTGCCAAGTACTTTATATACAGAATCTCTAATTCTCATGGAGCCCTGCTAGGCAAGCACTATTATCCTAATTTTATAAATAAAGTTAAGAGTCAAGAGGAAAAGTGAATTACTTCAGGTTACACTGTTGGCAAATGGCACAGTCATGATTTGAACCCAGGTCTGCATAAGACCAAAGCTTATTCTTTTTTTTCCTGCTAAAGTAGGTGCCAAATTAAGGTGAGCTCTGGTCTGCGTGACAACCTTTGTCTTTAGACTATAGGGAGAAGAGAAGAAAAGGCAAAAGAGGAGTGCAGAGTCTTGCTAAATACAAAAGGCTTTCTTTGTGTGGAATCAGGGGAAATGGATTTATGATCAGCTACTGTGGCATTTATGAGGTTGGGGAGTAGTGGGGGCCCTAAGTGAAGGCGAGGCCATAGCACAGAACTAATCATCCAAACAAGATTCACAGCAGCCCTCCCAAACAGAAGGCACAGGTGAGAGAAAGGGAAGTTGGCTTCTCTTGGGTCTTTCAGAGGCTTTGGGGTTAGCACTGAAATGAATCTCTAGCAAACAAAACACTGGGACTTAAAACAACTGAAGGTCTGCAAACCAGGCCCTGGCAGAAATCTTAAAGGGGCTCGATTTACAGCAGGGATTTAGTGAGACAAGATCTGAGCTGTGAGATGGCTGGATGAACTCACCACCTCCTTCTTCTGAGTCAGCCAGTCTGACCAGCACGGTAAAGTACAAACAATGAAGGCTACAGAGCCAGTTAGAAATGCCTTCACATCCTGACTGTAAATTAACAGCTTACACAACCCTAGTCAAGTCACAAAACTTCCATCCTTGGGTTTCAGTTTTTATGTCTGTAAAATTGAACTGATGACATTTTCACCTTGCCAGATTACAGATGTATGTCTCAGCACACTGCTAGTCACCAGTCACTAAAATGGATATATTTACTAAGTGTCAGGTTCTCATTTACTTCTCCCCAAACCTTATGATAACAGAGCCCCAGGCATTATTATTCCTATTTTACAGATATGGAAACTGAAGCAGAGAAGTTAAGCCATTCATGCAGGGTCACACTGCAACGGTGAGGGGCAGAAGTCTGGCTTCAGAGTCAGTGCTCTTTACACTGCTGTTATGTCTCTTTATAAATGGTGGCTGAGCAAATGAGGCCCAAGGATCACGATGTCAGCACCTCCCCCCTCGGGGACGTTGTTAACACAAGGCAGGATAAGCTGTCAGACTCTACTCTTGTGTGCATCTGAAACTGTTCGGGTCTTGCTTCTTAAGCCAGAGTCAGCAGACGGCAGAATTTCATATAAGGTGTGTGATACATATCATAATGGTTGACAGATAAAATGGGAAAAATGTAAATGTACTTGGGTTTCTATACTTAGCAGGGACTCAAACTGATTTGACTGCTAAGTATTCAAATTCCCTAAGGGAACAAGCTGGCTCTCTATAGGATTACCCTTCTACCAGTATCTGCATTCCCAGCACAGCAGTGCCATGGTTTCACTTGGTTACAAAAACACTGGCAAACTGTCAACAACAAGTACCCTCATTTTTACAATCAGCTAGATATTCATGGAACATAATTCTTACCTCCTTTATGCCAAACCTTGAAGACCAGGGTTTGCTTTGGGTCCAGAAGAAGTTCTTTTGATAGCCTATTGAGGAGAAAAACCACCAATAATCACTGGTGTAGGAATCTTCTGCAGCATAAAACAGATTTGAAGAATATTTCACAGTCTGCCAACCCTATTTCATCTTCATGATCATCTTCTAGGATATACTTTTTTTTTTTATCTTTTATTTAATGAATATAAATTTCCAAAGTACGACTCATGGGTTACAATGGCTTCCCCCCCCATACCGTCCCTCCCACCCACAACCCTCCCCTTTCCCACTCCCTCTCCCCTTCCATTCACATCAAGATTCATTTTCGATTATCTTAATATACAGAAGATCAGCTTAGTATACATTAAGTAAGGATTTCAACAGTTTGCTCCCACACAGAAACATAAAGTGAAAAATAATAGATGATTTTTTTTAAATGATGATGAAATCAGATCAGACCTATTGTCATGTTTAATCCCAGTGAGAGCCAAGTTGGGAATTGATAATTTCTTTTTCTTTCTTTTTTTTTTTTTTTACAGAAGATCAGTTTAGTGTACATTAAGTAAAGATTTCAATCGTTTGCACCCCCATAGAAACACAAAGTGAAATATACTGTTTGAGTACTCGTTATAGCATTAAGCCTCAGTGTACAGCACATTAAGGACAGAGATCCTACATGAGGAGTAAGTGCACAGTGACTCCTGTTGTTGACTTTACAAATTGACACTCCTGTTTATGGCATCAGTAATCTCCCTATGCACCAGTCATGAGTTACTAGGATATACTTTTATCTTCACCTTAAAATGAGGGCATGGAAGCTCATAGACGGGAAATAACCTGCTAAGACTTGCAAACAGGCCCCCTTGATGCACACCCCCATGCCACCCCCTGCAACGTATTTATCACATTCAACCTCTGCTTCTCTAAGACAGGATAGGAGTAGGAGAAGGGAACTCCTCAACATGCAATGAACGCTTTTACTGGAATGGGTATAGATTAAGGTGGAAGAATGGTAAGAAGGGAGAGGAGGGGTATGAGAAGATTCACTGAGTACCTACCTTGGGACAGATACACATTTAATCTGTCTATGACCTGGGCATTATTATTCTTATGTTACAGATGACGAAGTTGGCTCAAACAGGAAAAGTAATTTGTTTAAGATCATCTAAGAGGGGTCGGTGCTGTGGCTTAGCAGGTAAAGCTGCTGCTTGCAGTGTCAGCATCCCATATGGATGCCAGTTTGAGTCTCAGCTGCTACACTTCCGATCCAGCTCCTCCTATGGCCTGGGAAAGCAGTGGAAGATGGCCTAAGTCCTTGGGCCCCTGCACCCACATGTTACCCGGAGAGAGCTCCTGGCTCCTGGCTTTGGATTGGCGCAGCTCCGGCCACTGAGGCCAGTTGGGGAGTGAACCATTGGATGGAAGACCTCTCTTTCACTCTCTCTCTCCCCCTCCCTCCCTCTCCTCTCTGTAACCTTGCCTTTCAAATAAATAAATAAATCCTTTTCTTTTTAAAAGATAATCTAAAAGTCAGCAAGTGCCAGGGCTGGGATGTGACCCCGGTTTACCTGACTCCAATGCTACACCATGCAGAGGGCAAGGCAACAAAATAATAAAGTGCCCAAAATAAATACCTGATAAAGGTGAAGTAGAATTCACTGAGCACCTCTAATGTACCTTCTATGAAGTGGATTAGTTTTTTTTTTTTTTTAAGATTTATTTATTTATTTGAAAGTCAGAGTTATACAAAGAGAGGGAGAGGCAGAGAGAGAGAGAGAGAGAGAGGTCTTCCCTCGCGGGTTCACTCCCCAATTGGCCACAACAGCCCAAACTGTGCCAAACCGAAGCCAGGAGCCTCTTCCAGGTCTCCCATGTGGGTGCAGGAGCCCAAGGACTGGGCCATGTTTTACTACCTTCCCATGCCAAAGCAGAGAGCTGGATTGGAAGTGGAGCAGCCAGGACTCAAACTGGCACCCATATGGGATGCTGGAGCTGCAGGCGGTGGCTTTACCCGCTACGCCACAGCGCCAGCCCCTGAAGTGGATTAGTTTTAAATTGCAAAGTTCTGGAAAGTTACAACAGGTACCACTGCTGCAGGTCAAGAAGATCGAGGTCCAGGGAAATCAAGAGGCTTAATTTCATTTTCCCACCACCAATGCAGAACTGAAGAAAGCCTCCCACCTTCAAGGCTAATGTGCTCCAGTGAAAGAATTACTGTGTCAGAGACTGGTACTCCAGCTGGTAGTCAAAAGACTCACCTTTGAAGCTCGTCTCTACTATTATCACCTGAGTGACTTTCTGAACCCTGGTTCTCCTGTGAGGGTACTTCAAAGAGTTCACGGGAAAATGCAATTAAAAGATAAGTCCATTTTGGTGCAAAAAATCTTGAAACCCACATATAAGTTTTTCATTATGCGCACTTTCCATGAACTTTTAACAGACCCTTGCCATTGGACCTGCTAAAGGGGATATTACCTACCTACAAACTGCAAGGAGGATCGAATGAAAGAATTTTGAGACAAAGGAACTGAAAATGGCACCACTACTCATTTTTTCTTCTAATTCTGTTACTATTACCAATAAACTATGTAACGATTGTCTCCTCAACTGTGAAGTCAAGGGTTATGATTGGAAGCCTGCTAATGTCCTTTCACCAAATTTGTCAAGTTTTGTCATTATGTCAGGTCGTGAATGAACAAATCACCTCCACTTAGAGGCTCAACTGTTTCCTGCCATTGGGGACAGATTTAATATTTTAGATAAAGTACCTGGACCATGCTGGCCATAATTTCTTTAATTTCCGCTAGCTCACCACAGATAGAGCTGAGTTTTTACTGCAGTTCTAGCTCCTGACAGAGGCCTGCTTCTCAAATTACAAATCACTGACTATTTGAGTAACTGCTGAGACTCAGTCAAGTGCAGCCAAACATTTCTGGAACCGTCCATAGGAGGTCTAACATTGGCTGTATACCTACTACGTACCATGAGGTAATTCTCCTGAGTGTCTCTAATTTGGACCTCACAGCAATCCTAACAAATCATCTCCGCATTACAGATGAGAATTCTAAGGCCCAGAGATACTATGCAATCGGTTCACATGGATGAGCGCCTTCTGCCTGGAATGTCCTCGCACATGGGCATCTCACATGCCTCCTTCACTGCTTAGCTGGAGTGACTGATTTACGAGTCCTTCCCTCGACTTTCAGGCTGTCCTAAATCACCTTTTTTCTCTGAGCTCTCCATCAGCATCTTTTCCACTTTTCTTTGGACACTTGATTGTAATTTTTAATTTGCATTTCCTCCCAGCTAGACCATGACCTCTTCAACAGCAGAGAAGATCTTAATTTAATTCCAGTGCCTAGAACAGAGCTGTGCAACTAAGAAACCCTCACTGAATTAATTTTTCAGCTCTATTGAGCAGGAGTAAAAACACTACAACAACACTTTCAAGCTACAATTAGCTGTGAATTCACAAAAGCTAGAATTAAAAAATTGCTTGGATTAGAATTTTCCAGGTCTGCTCAAATATTGTTGTGTCTGTTACATTCCTTGCTGAGTTTATCACTTGGATGGAATAAAAACTAGATTCTGGAAGGCCAATAGAGCATCAGAAAGTACAAACCTTGATTGCTGTTGAAAATTCCAGACAGGGGAATCTGTGTTTCCAACCACGGGGGTGTATATAGGTGATGGCTCATCAGCTGTTGCAAAGGATACACAACAGCTGGGTACTGGCACTTTCCGCTCTGTCAAGGGGCTCCCTGAAATAGAATATAGCAGGGATGAATGAACCTTCAGGTATCAAAAAAGAAGACTGTGCTGGAAGAAGCTCCCAGCACAGTACCCAGTTTTTACTTTCATTAACCCTGTAGAAGAGGCAGCAGAAGACACAGTTTAGAGTATGGACCTGGAGCCAGCATGCTATCATTTCATAAATATATGCTCAACCAATTTAATTTCTCAGTACCTCAGTGTTCTTTTACTCTATATTATAGGAATAGATAGGATTGTTTAAGGATAAAATGAGTTAATGCTTGTGAAGTACTTAGAATAGCACCCAGCACATAGTACATGATATTTTGTTACCTGTTAGCATTTATTTCAAATCCTTACAACATCTTAGGAGGTATAAGTATAGTAATCCCGGTTTTACAGTTGGAGAAGCTGTGTCCCAGACAGAGCTCACCCAAGGTCAGACATGATGTTCATAGCAGAGCTGACTGATAACCGGTCTTCTGACTCTGTAAGTCTAGGCCTTTGCAGTTCTGTTCTATTATTTGCCTTTCAATCCAGCATTTTCCATCATCCCATAAAATGCAAGGAAACGGAGAGGTGACTTCTTGCTGGGGGACATTTATGAACTGAGCCTTGGAAGGACCGTTGTAGCAGCAGATAGGTCTCTGCAAACATTTTAGACTAGAGAATAGCTCAAGCAAAGACCCAAAAGTACAGGGAGGTTGGGAATGGTGCTGCTTAGCTAGATAACAGGTAACTTCGTTTTTTTGTTTTTTTTTTTTTTTTTTTTGACAGGCAGAGTGGACAGTAACAGAGAGAGAGACAAAGAGAAAGGTCTTTCTTTTGCCGTTGGTTCACCCTCCAATGGCTGCCACGGTTGGTGCGCTGCCGGCGCACCGCGCTGATCCGATGGCAGGAGCCAGGTGCTTCTCCTGGTCTCCCATGGGGTGCAGGGCCCAAGCACCTGGGCCATCCTCCACTGCACTCCCTGGCCACAGCAGAGAGCTGGCCTGGAAGAGGGGCAACCAGGACAGAATCCGGCGCCCCGACCGGGACTAGAACCCGGTGTGCCGGCGCCGCAAGGCGGAGGATTAGCCTAGTGAGCCGGGGCGCCGGCCTAACTTCTGTTCTAAAATGCTCTGAATGTCAAGATTACAGATAAAGGGAAAAGCAAAAGAACACAAGAAAAAGATGTGTGTCTTAAATACATTTATGTGATCCAGAGGAACTTTTCTTTTTAAGATTTATTTTGAGAGGCCAGCACTGTGGCACAGTAAGTTAATCCTCTGCCTGCAGTGCTGGCATCCCATATGGGCACTGGTTTGTGTCTCAGCTGCTCCACTTCCAATCCAGCTCTTTGCTATGACCTGGGAAAGCAGGGGAAGGTGACCAGAGTACTTGGGCCCCTGCACTCACGTGGGAGACCTAGAAGAAGCTCCTGGCTTCAGGTAGGCTCAGCTCTGGCCGTTGTGGCCATTTAGGGAGTGAACCAGCAGATGGAAGATCTTTCTCTCTGTCTCTCACTATCTAACTCTACCTTTCAAATAAATAAATAAAATATAAAAAAAGATTTATTTTGAATGACAGGGAGAAGGAAAGATAGAGCTTTCCATCTGCTGGTTCACTTCCCAAATGGCCGCAACGGCAAGGGCTGGGCCAGGGCGAAGTCAGAAGCCTGGAATTCTATCTGGGTCTCCCACTTGAGCAGCAAGGGCCCAAGGACTTGGGCTATCTTCGGTTACTTTCCCAGGCACATCAGCATGGAGCTGGATCGAGGACTTGAACTGGCATTCACATGGGATGCTGGCACTCCAGGCCAATACTTTAACTTGCTAATAAGCTCCAGCACTAGCCCCCATATTTTCTTCAACCAAAAGAATTTCTATTAGAGTAGAGCAATTCAAACTTCCCCCTCAAAGCAATAACAATCCAGAGAAAATATTACATTTTGAAATCCGTGCATAACTTCTTTACAGTAGGCATTTTCCATTAGCTTTTTTTTTAATTTTAAAAAAGTTTGCTTCCTTTTATTTATTTGAAAGGCAGTGTAATAGAAAGAGGGAAAGAGAGGAGAGGGAGGAGAGATAAACAGAGAGAACGAAAAAGAGGGAGAGAAGAAGAGGGAAAGTGAGAGGGAGCGACAGAGAGATATCTTCCATTTTCTGGTTCACTTCCCAATGTGCCTGAAAGAACTGGAGATGGGCCATACTAAAACCAAGAACCTAAAACTCAAACTGGGTCCCTCATATGGATGGCAGAGACCCAAGTACTTGAGCCATCGCCTGCTGCTCCCTAGAGTGTGTGTCAGCAGGAAGCTGGATCAGAAGCAGATGTGGGCGTTGATTTTGGGCAGCCGATAAAGGATGCAGGTATCCCAGGGGTGGCTTAATCTGCTGTGCCACAATGCCCGCCCTTCCATGAGTGTTTTGAAGACTGCTTGTATTTATTTGATCTAAAAACAGTATTTTTGTCCCCAAATCTTGGTAAAAATTGATTTGCCATGTTAGGTAATTTCGTGACTTCCAGCATCCCAGGGTGCAAAATCAGATCAGAAGGCCAGTTCTTCTTACGGAGGACAATTGAGAGAGAAAGAAACTGGGCAACAGGGAAAGGGAATGGTGAGTTTGTGAGAACCTGGGAAAGAGAACTGAAGCCGAGGAAGAGGAACGTTAGCCTTGTCAGGCAGGAAGTTAGACATCAGCCGATGAGTGTATGAGAAGGGCCTGAGGAGACCCACATCTGTGGCAGTGCAGCATCTGCCTTTCAAAGTCCCGCCCAGACCCTGATGACCTGCCAGGGGTCCCGCTTCCCCCACGGGGAAGCTACCTGGCCTGATACACATCCTTCTCCATAGCAGGCACCCTAGAGGAGCCCTTGGCCCAGGCCAGCATGACTCCCTCTGTCTGGTGACAAACCTGGGGAGGAATTTCTCTTTGTCCTGCAGAAGGGGGAGAGGGTAAAGAGACTCCCTTAAAAATCCTTAAAAATCAGGAGTCTAAACAAAGACTGCACACTCAGCTCTCTGCTGAGCTGCCTGCCTGGCCTGCCACATTCTCTCCATTTAACCATGTAACCTCGCTTTCCCCCAGTCCGAGTGACTGGGCACTCTCTCTCCATCCCTTCTGTTCTGACAGACGCCCTGTCCCCAATAAAACCTTGTTACTTTGCTCTCTGTCTCATGCCTGAATTCTTTCTTGCGTGAAGACAAGAACCCCACAACTTCTCTCTGGTGACAGCCTTAAAGTGAGATCTGCTGGCACCCGCCGGTGGGCAAGAGCTGAGGTATGTGCCAGAGTGGCCAACAACGCGTGATCTGGAGAAAGGCTGACCATGAAGCAGAGGCGGCTCAGAACTGGAAGAGCACCAAAGGCTCAGAGAAGAACTAGATGAGGAACAAAACAAAATACCATCGGCTACAAGGCGGCCAGACCAATTTAACAAGCATGTTTCTCAAAGCGCAGGGAAAGAAAGAAGATTCTAATAACACAGAAACAGGGAATCAACAGTTAACAGAAGTTAAAAATACAGTAGCCATCATTACTAACGTACAATATATAGTGCTAACAGTACCTTTATCTGCTTAGCTATCTTCTTAAAATCTGTATTTTAATGAAACCATATAGTGTTTCCGCGGGTTGCCTTGTTCGGGATCCATCCCTACCTATGTTTACTTAATTGCATTCCTTTATTGTAGAGATGAAAAGTGTTAAAATCCACATTTCCCAGGCTCTGAAAGCTACAGTGGGGATGCAACCCTCAGGAAAGATATGGAAGGCAGAGGACACCTTCCTTCCCCTTCTGTTTTTGCTCATAACAAGGATGACTGTAGAGACGTTGCATTTTCTGCCCCAAGGTTTGGACCCTTGGAGCAGACCGGTCCTGCAGCATGGGTAACAATGGAAGTTTGATTTTTGTAATTCAGTTTTGGCACTAAATTTTGAACTTAAAAGATCTACTGATTCCCTCCTGAAAGTCTAGCCCAGAGTCCACCCCTAGTCCTTCCACTGACTTGAAGCACATTAATGTTCTACAGTTAACTCCTTTCTGTGCAACATGGCTAAGTGGGTTCTGTATCCTGTAACTAGACCCTGTCTGCCACAGATTTCACCTCTCCCCCACTTTCTTTCTTTCTTTCTTTTTTTTTTTTTTAAGATTTTTATTTATTTATTTATTTGACAGGTAGAGCTACAGACAGTGAGAAAGAGAGAGACAGAGAGAAAGGTCTTCCTTCCGTTGGTTCACTCCCCAAATGGCTGCAATGGCTAGAGCTGCACCGATCCGAAGCCAGGAGCCAGGTGCTTCTTTCCGATCTCCCATGAGGGTGCAGGGGCCCAAGGACTTGGGCCATCTTTTACTGCTATCCCAGGCCACAGCAGAGAGCTGGACCAGAAGAGGAGCAACTGGGACTAGAACTGGCGCCCATATGGGATGCCAGCGCCGCAGGCAGAGGATTAACCTAGTGCACCACAGCACCGGTACCATCTCTCCCCCACTTTCTATTCTACGTCTTAAGCTTCTCAATTGATTTCCTCCAGTAAAATGTCACAGACCCCATAAGTAGGCAGAGATAACCTGCCTCTATCACAGCAGTTGCCACAGCCTAATAATCCGTATCCTGCTCACTACGATAGCTTCAGGGATGCACAAAGTAGTCCAAGGCTTTTATTAAGGGCTGCAGACTTCCCTCTGCCCTGTGTGGACAGACGGCCGCCAGGGTTGGAGAGAGAAGCTGCAAGCTGCCTCTTGCCTCATTTGCTTGCAGGGTACATCGGCAGAGGACAGCAACAGCTGCCACGGCAGCTCTGGAAAAGATCTGCAGAAAGGCCAACTGCGCGTTCTGATGGCCTCCGCCACTGATTTAGTGTGACATACCGGGCACACCAATTCATCCTGGCTCCTGGGGCTGCAGATGAACAATCACTTCCCACCATCAAATTCTAATTCAAGATGTGTACCAAGACTACTCAGCTCTCTCTCATACCACTGGCACCCCGAGTTTTATTTTTGAAGCTACTATTTGAGAAAG